GGAAATATAGATTGTTAAATGAATAGAATCTTGCGTGAAAACACTCTATAAAAAATAGAATCTAGGAAATATAGATTGTTAAATGAATAGAATCTGGTATAGAAAAACTCTAAAAAAAATAGACGAAAGAGTGTATAGACTCTTATGTAAATAGAACTTTAAATGAAGATATTATAGAAAAAACAAATAGTAGTAAATATAGATTCTAAGATAAATACACTTCTATGTAGCTAGATTATTATAAGATTAGATTATTATATAAGTATAAAGTAAGAAGTATAAATGCTTACACGCAAAATTTATAGAATATATAGAATCTCGCATGCGTAAAATACAAGTAAAATAATACCTTGTATTTAGAGAATTTAGCTAAAGTAGAATCTAGTATACTACGAACATATAAAGAGTAGAATCTAGTATTTTAGAAATACTAAATAAATAGAGTCTTGTATATAGAAACCGCATTAATAAGAGAAATAGTAGCTAATAAGTTTTTCTATTTTAGTTAGTTATTTGTATCTTAGATTGTGCGCGCTTAAAAGAGGGTATCCCAATCTGCGACGATCTATACTAAGCATTAGTAACTACTAAATTGGGACTTCAGGCATAACACATGCGAGCAGTCGCCTATTCGTCCTCTGCAAGTTAAAAACAATAAACCGACATTATTTCATAGAGGTTAGTATGAACTATTTCGTTCATACATGCTTTATACTTGTCGGTGTCGGTCGTTTCTTATCTATTCCCTTTTATTTCGCTATCTTACTATCTGCGCATCCGCTCACGTTTAGTGTTACTAATATTTCGTAGGCATAATAGATTCTTTAGACCTATGTTATAAAATACCCTAAGGCGGAGCTCCACTAGCTACATCTAAGTAGTACACTAATAACGGGCAGCCCTTTAGAAACTTTAAGAAGTCGGACTTATATCGCGGGTTTAATATTACTATTTAGTAGTACCTTAATATTATATATCACATCCGCGCGCTCCTTAAGGTTAATAACCTATATAAGAGTGACTTCCGGAAATAGAGTACTAGGTAAAAGATATTTTATATCTTTAAGACCCTATAGGCCGAGTTTCCCTTTCTCTATAACATTTAGTATAAAGCTAGCGCTATAAATCCTACCCTAACTACCTATAGTAATAAGCCTAGTAGTACTAGTATAACTCTTAATTTAGACCCTATACACACTAAGGCCGGAGCTACTATACGTAGTGAGGCTAGTAATACCTAAGCCACTAGTAGCATTCCTACTAGATTCTCTATATATATTTAGGCTGGAGGTCTTGCACGTAATATAGCCGGTAGTGCTTAAGATATTAGCGCTAACCCCACTCTAGCTCCTATATAGGATAAGGCTGGCGCTTCTACACGCGATGGGGCTGGGGTAGGATCAACCCTATAGGCATCTACGCGCGTACTTATAACTAACTAACCTTTATAGGATGAGCGCGTTCTAGAATAGTAGGGAAGGGATGCCCTTCGGGGGTGGATTACAAATATAGCTGAATAGATGGGGCACAACTAGGATCAGCTACAGCCACTAGTAGTTGAGAAGAAAGAGCGGTGGAAACGTTTCCCTAATACACCGAGTAAACCGAAGCCGCCACTAATGATCTCTCTCCGACACTCAGCTCTTACCATTTCGCTTGCAGACGGAGAAATTACAATAGTGCTACTTACAGACCTAGTAGAGGAGGAACTCCTTCTAGGGAATAAGTCTGAAGACCTAAATAAGAAGGACCTCGAGCTAGAGCTTCTTCATGTATAGCTAGCTAAGGAAGGTGTCTTCGACGTTGAGAAGCAGCAGCTAGCATTTACTCTAAAAGGGTTTGATAGTATCTTCAGAGTTGTTCACATTACGAACAGTAGGGTATTACGGGTCGCAATATTTGCGCAGCGTAGGCCCGGACAGTCTGAGATTACTAGGATCCAAGTTGTTGACGCTCCTATTATTGCGGAGGGTGAGGGCGGAGAACATAGCAGGCCTCTTTCCGTTTCTAGTAACGAGGTTGATAAGGAGAGTGAGCTTTCATCAGACACCGATGAGCTTGCTGGATAGAGTATTAGCTTTTACTTTAGCAATTCTGGAGTCGAGAATACATTAAGCTATACTAAGCTCTCGTGGTGTACGATACCTATAGCTGTAGCTACTACACTTATGGAAGCAAAGTGTCAAGCAGCTATGGAGCAAATTCCCTTAGATGCCAGAATATCGCCGAGTCGCATCACTCAAAAGCAACCTTGGCCTTGGTATGCTGCGTGTGAAACTGCCACCACGGCCCACTAGGTCCTTCGTTCCCGACACCTGGCGCCCCACCCCACAGCCGATGCAGCCTGTCCACATGCTGTTCTAGTTGGTGGCGCATGAGGGCATCTAGTGAGGTGTTGAACTGGGATCTACCTCCGCTCTTAAGGGTGTCCCAAGGTGTCTTGTTTCGGTCTTTGCGATTGGAGTTGCGGAATGTTTCGCCACAGGGATGACAATCGTAACCCTCTTCGTTATTCCGCTCAAGAAGTTCATCCTAGAATAACATAAGAACAGAGCTAATGGATAGTAGAATAGTCCCTTACTCTAGCTCTTACAGCCCCATCCGCGTACAGACTGCCGTCTGGAAAGCACCGTGGATGATGAGAACAATCCTGGTGTACTTGTTGCATAGGGATGCCCTGCTGGTAATGACCGCGTCTATAGTGCGATCTTAGATTGTTGTATAGGTTGGCTTCTCGAACTAAGTGAGATGGGTTGTTGCAATCAGAGTTATGGCATAAATGCAACGACTCAAGGCCCTAATCTAGAGGCAAATTAGCACTAGGTATATTTAATATAAAAAGGGAGATATACCTAGGTGCGCCATAAACACTTCTTTTGTGGGACGGCAGATACTAAGGAATAGTATACTGCTTAGCTGCAAAGTGATACTTTCCTATTACTCACATTCATCGCACTAAAGTAGGAAATATTGCTTTAGCCTCTAGGGCCGGTTACTCTTAGTGATACTGTTGCAGGTAGGGCTGCTAAAACAAGTTGGGAAAATGGTTGCTAGTAGCTCTTCACCCGGTGCGTCGAGAGAGTAATGCCACGGCATGAGATGAGGGTAGAACCAATATGACTAGTACTAGGATGACTTTTCTATCAACAGCCTGAAGTTAATGTAGAAGAAAGCACGGGATCTCGTACTAGCGCAGCACGGTACCCCACGCTCCCAGTCGTAGTATAGGCCTTTAATCTTCTTTACTACAGCTAGTGGTTCAAGAGACGGCGTGCCTTCTATCTCTTCCTCTCCCTTATATATATTGCTGAAGTATAGTTGAGTTTTCTGTAGTAACCCATCTAACGCGCTAATTGGTGTAGGGTCTGAGGGCTTATAGAGCTAGGAGGGATTCTGGATAGCGCCTATATAAGGTCCTACTAGTAGGGTCTTAACTCTATTGCTAGAGGGCTTAGGTATAGGCTTTAATGTCCTCCTCGCTCTTACCTCTATAGCTTTCTTTAGAACCACCTTTATTTTTATAACTTTACTAGGGCGCACTTTTACTCTTATAAGTTATATAGCTCTCTTTCGGCGCTCTATTAGGCGCGTGTTTTAGGATAATGAGGGCTACTATTCGGTCCCTAATAATAGGCTCTAGATTGGTAAGAGTAGTGGGTCGGGTAATATAAGTAGTTCGTCTTTAGACTTAGATATATTACTTAAGAAGTTAGAGTGCGATAATATAGTATTCTAAGATGTTAGTCGTGGCCCCTTTTATAATATGTAAGGCGCCAGTAGTCTAGGTGCTTATGCATCGCGTAGTGGCGCTAGTAACTATTAGGATGTGATCTAACTAGTATTGGGAATAGAGCGGCGGAGGAGACTTGGCGGTGTTAAAGGGGGAGGAGGTGTTTCTCTGCTAGGGGCCTGGAATAGTGGGTGAAAGAGTCTTCGAGCGGCTGATCGTCGAGGCGCTATAGTCACTACTGACTTAAGTGAGTCCTGTGTTGACTGTATGGGCGTTGTTGGAGGTGGGGGAAACTCTTCGACCACTGGGTGCTGACTTGCTAGTGCGGAGTCGCTATCATCTGAGAAGCGCTCAGGGATAATGGTATCGGAGCTAACTTCAATATATTCTAGCGGCGGGCTTGGCTTGTGGGGAAGTGCCCCCGTCATCCACGGTTCGTCGCCTAAATGGATGCCGCTATGGCCGTCGGAGAGAGGCGGGACGGCTGCTTGTGGGACGGCTGCTTGTAGCGCGGGAGCGTTGTGCTCATCTAGCGTGCGACGGTGTTTCTTAAGCGTATCCGCTGTCGCAAGGACCTCCTTGTAGAGAAGTGGACTATACTTCAACGGGCCGAGGGCTTGAGCAATAGTCTTTTCGCGGTAGATGTAATCCGGAAGGTCTGTGTCTGTCTCTTTAACACCACTTTTTACTATTAGCGCATGTATTCTTTACTGCGTACCCTTAGATACTTACTTGTTGCGTTCATACTCAAGCCGCCTCCGCCGTAACCGAAGCTGCTTTGCGACGCGGTTATCTCTCCTCACAGATATTGCTGCTGCTTTCTCTGCAGCTTTAGACTGCCATTTCTCCCGGTTCCGTTCGATTTTAGCTTTTTGCTTATCAGTTAACTGGTCTTTTGAGCGCTTTCGTCGTGCCATGTTGCTGTAAAGTGTGCAAGTATAACTAGTATATTGGTATAGCCTTTATTTCGTTGTGCGCAATAACTCTAGCCGGCTGCCAGGGCTGCCGAAGGCCCGCTACCCGACTAGCGCAGAAAACTCTACAGGATACATCACGCATATTCTAATATATGTTTTATATAAATATTTTAAAGAGTAAGTACAGCTAGTTCCACTATAAGAAACCCTTTTATCTTAACCTAGAAAAATAGATATATACGCCTCTTAAGGATATTATTACGTGTATTAAGACTAGCGATAAGAAGTATATTTTCTATAATATACTTAATTCTAGCCTAGAATGTTTATAAAACTATAACTATAATATATATAAAGAGTAAAGGCGAGTGTAACAAGGTGCTATTACGAGATAATAAAGGTTACTGTAATAGTTAGGGTCCTAATTAAGGAGGTAGGGAATAGTGCTAAGATACGGTTAATATAGTGAGAATTGATATTATATAGTGAGATTAGATTAAGTTATAAAGAATGCTAGATTCTTATTTAAGTTAAGCACACTATTCTAATAAACGAGAATAGTGCGGCCTATATACTATAATACCTCGCACTATAATCCCCCTAATTAGAGTGATCCGTTTCTAATCATACTAATTATACTAATTAGGCACCTCTTAGTATCCTAAGTAATTAGTTCCTTATATAACTTTTAGCACTAATCACCTTTTATTCCGTGTTATTAGCCGTGGTTCGTGACACTATCTCCCTCCCCTAATAGCTTTCGTCCTAAAAGGTATGTTCGCCCTCTTTCTATAATCTACTAAAAGCACCCAAGCTAATATTCTCGAGATCTGTGTTAAAGTAGTAGGGCTTTACTAGTCTTAAATGATCCTCCACTAAACGCTGTAATAACCTAGTGTCTTATCTTTGTTTCTCTAGTTCCGATATACCTACCCTATATAGTCGCTGTCGCTCTAAGTCGCTGTCCTATCGCGTGGATGTCCGTTCTAGCTATTATGCCAAGTGTATTTCTTTAGGCGTAAAATGCGACCTAGTTATTACCTATAAAGAATGGGAGCAGCTCCGTGCTTATAGCGAAGAAATTCGTAAAAAGCTTTATAAAGCTAAAAGAGTAATTATAGAGGCGAACCTCCGTTATACCTAGCTTAAAGACGAGCTAGCTAAGTAGGAAAACCGTTCTTCCTAACTTATATCACACAAACTATTATTAATTAAGGAGGTAGAGGCTCTAGAGCGGGGCTAGCCGAGCTCTTTTTCTAAGTTCTTAATAGACTTCCCGGATCCCGCGCCTATCGCCTTCTTAGACGTGCTTGCTATATCTCCTATAACTTGGAACGCCCTAGATGGGTTCCCTCCTTCGTTCTTTAAGCCTACCTCTAATGAGGTCTTAGGTCCTTATAGTACTTCCTTATAGCTCGTTCGCATCCATTAAGGTTAGTGCGTAGCTTCTATATATTGTCTAAGTTTAGGTAGCTTTTCCATTTTACGAGGTATTATTATAGCCTGTCCTTAAAGTCGGTGCTGTTATCTAGAATCCTTTGTACTTTATATCGTCCTTCTTATTCTATTAGGTAGTTATCTAGTACCTTAGCTAATACTAGTACTTCTATAGGGGCTGGTTCTAATAGCGAAATATAGAATACTAGGTGTATTCTCATTCCCTCTAGCAGGTCTAATTTGTAGCTTGTGTCCTTAATATTTCTGATGATTTTAAAAGGTCCTATCCTAATGTGGTCCAATTTCTTGCTTAGCCTTGTTGTCTTGATATTTTTCTGGAGGAGGTAAACTTTATCCCCCTCTTTAAGTATAGGTCCCCTAGATCTATTTTTATTGTAGTGAAATAATAATTGTTGCGATAGAAATTCGATATCTTTTCGTAATTCTTAGTACATTTATAACATTTCTTCCACCGTTAGTCTAGCTGCTTCTGCCTGTGTCTAGATTTCCTTGGGTTTATAGAACATCTAGGCGTGGTATCTATAGTTGGCGTAGAATGGAGTTTATCCCATTATTTCGTTTACGCTTGTATTGTACGCTAGCTATATAAGTGGTAATAGTGATACCTAGTTTATTTATCTATAATCCACGTAACCTCTTAAGTACTATTCTAGTACTTAGTTCATACGTTCTATCTATCCGTCCGTCTATAGATAATAAGCTATTAATAGCTTGTAAGATAGTTCTAGCTATATTGTAAGCGCGGTCCAGAAGTTTAATATAAATAGTTTGTCCCTATCTAAGATAATCTCCTTAGGTAGACCCTATATTACTATTATATTTCGGAGGAAGGTGTATGCTAGTTCTTTAGTATTAGACGATTCCTTATACGGTATAAAGCGCACTTCCTTTATTAATCGGTCCATAATAGTAAGCACGGAGTTGTATTTCACCTTTATTAAAGGTTCTTTAGAAAGAGGTAATTTGATGATAAAGTCTATAGCTACTAAAGCCTATAGCCGTGTTAGTATTACTACTAATTTCATTAACCCGTACGGCTTATACTAGGTTGCTTTCATCTTATAGTATAGGTCGTAAGATGCGATGTATTCCTCCACTTTCTTCCTTAGTCTTAGGAAGAAGTAGGTGCGGTTGATTGCTTTAATTATTTTATAGATTCCGCGATGTCCTTCGGTTAGACCGTCGTGGTATTATTAAATAATCTCCATCCGCTATCCTAGTGGTACGTACACTAGGCCTTTAAATAATAGTAGACCTTTATCTATTTATTTAAATCCTTTAAGGGTTTTAGAAAGTGCTCTTTAAGTATGGGCATCCTGCGCGTATACTTTCCGTATGCGGTCTTCGAGGTTATTATTTACAATCGCTATAGTAGCTACTAGTATACCTTAATTATAAGTGATCTTTCCGTCTAGATGCTATTCTAGAATTAAGCTAACTATCTAGGGCTTTTCTTCTATATAATCTAGTCTTCTACTAAACGCGTCGGCTTTTGCGTTCTTAGAGCCTTTCCGATAGTGAATTTTGAAATTAAATATCGACAATTCCTCGGACTATCGCACCTACCTGCGGTTTAACACTTTAGTGGTGGTGAAGTATACTAAATTCTTATAATCGGTGAACACTTAAATTAGATACTTTACTTCTTCTAGATATATCCTCTATTACTTAAATGCTTTAATAATAGCTAGTAGCTCTTTGTCGTGGATTTTATAGTTTAGTTCTAGTCCACTAAACTTTCGCGAGTGAAATGCTACCGGATACTAACATCCTTTGTTGTCTTATTGATTTAGACATGCTCCTATAGCTAGGTCTAAAGCATCTATCTCGATTATGATTGCTTTTATCGGGTTAAATATTATTAGAACTAGTTCTAAGCTAAACTGTTCCTTTAGTGTACGAAAAGCTTTATTAGCTTTCTTGTCCTATTAGAAACCTTAATCTTTCTTTATAAGATCTATTAGTGGCGCTGTAATTTGGGAGTAGCCTTATATGAACTTTCTATAGAAATTCGCTAGCCCTAGAAACGATTGCACGTCTTTTACTAACTTTAGTGTAGGCTATTTAAGTACTACCTATACCTTGGTTTTGTCTATCTAGATACCGTGGTCCGTGATAATATACCCTAAGAACTTAATTTCCTATTAATAGAATTGGCTCTTCTCTAGTACTATTTGTAAATTCGCTTATTAGAGCGCTCCTAAGACTTGTCTAACATGCCGCACATGTTCTTTTTTAGTCCTAGAATATACTAGTATATCGTTAAGGTAGACGACTATAAACACATCTAAGTGCTCCCTTAGAACATTATTAATATATACCTAGAACGTAGCGGGAGTATTAGTGAGTCCGAATAGCATAACTAAATACTTATAGAGTCTGAAGCGGGTTCTTATCGCTATCTTCTACTCTTCGCCTTTCTTGATTCAAATCCGGTTATATACTCCTAGAATGTCGAATTTCGTGAACTATTTAGCCCCTTAGAGTCGATCCTATAACTCCGAAATTAAAGGTAATAAATAACTATTCTTAATTATTATATTATTTAGTCCCTAATAGTTGATGTATAGTCGTAACTTTCTATCCTTTTTAGGTATAAATAGGATAGAATATTCTACGGGTGACTAGGATTCCTATATGAATCCCTTTTTTAGATTCTTATCTAGATACATCCGCAACGCTTTTAGCTTCTCTAGTGATAGTAGGTAAATTAATAATTTCCCTAGTGTCTTACCTTCCTAGATGGGTATTATATAGTCCCATGCTTGATATGCTAGTAGGGCTTCCTTTAGAGCCTCTTCTGTAAATAACCTCGCGTAGTCCTTATATTTGTCTAGAATAGATAACGGGGCTATAGTAGACGCGAGCTATTATCGCTTACTCTATAGGATCTATACTTACTTAGGATTCTTATGGACCTCTCTCTTAAGTTCCTTAGCCGAGATTATATATATCTTAAGGCTGTCTCCTAGCGTATCTTTGCTTATCTAGACTAACTTTCCCTAGAAAAAGTCTAGTATTTAATGGATCTAATCGATCTTTGGATTTATGTTCTTAAGCTATAGTAACCCTAGCACTACATCGTGGGTTCCTATTACCGTAATATCGAACTGTATGTCCTTAATATAGGGTCTAATCTTTAACCGCACCCTTTTAGTTTCTTAGTCTACTAATCCCTAATTATAGCCTAAAGGTTAGCTATCTACTACTATAACTAGGTAGGCGTTAAGCTTATATTATAACTATAACCTAGCCTCCTATACAAACTATAGTGATATAAAGTTCGCTATGGCGCCTGAATTAATTAGTGCCTTAGCCTATAATTAGCTAATCTTAACCCACACTTATAGGTTCCCGGCATATCTTATTACCGCGAGGGTATGCTTGCGGTATCCTACTCTAGGTACCTAGGTGCCCTTACACCTATTCGAAAGTCTTTTGGTAGGCGCTTCCGTTAACCCTCTTACCGGAAGGCCTCCTAGTTTTTTAAATCGGAGCCCTCTAAGTTAGAGCTCCCTAAGCTCTCGTCCCTAGCAGGAGTC